TTACTGATTGATGTCTAGACAGTTACAAACCTATAGAGTACATTGACCAAAACCCCTAGCTACATCATATTTCTAGAAGACGAGTATGCGTAAGCTCTATGCAAATTACTTTAGCAATATCGTGCTAACAAATTTGAGCTTTGACTAAAAAGTGAGCAAGAAAATTTGTTTTGTCACCATTACGTTAAAGTGTATTTTACAAGTAAAATGTATTTCGGATAGATTCGATATGATTTTTTTCTTTTCTAACTTACTACCCATACAATCGTATGAGCCCTCTGCTAATATTTACGATTTCTTCAGCTTTATAAATCTGCACCTACTCGATTTCAGTAAACGGTAAAGGCTTAAAACAATGATTTATTCTAGAGAATTGCTTGAGAGTGAAAAAAGTAGAAGAGCGAAATAGAGGCATCCATTATAATAGAAGGTTTTGTGGATTACAAAATCACTTAATACTACTTTGATTAATCTTTACTAGTTCTTTCCTTTCTCTTTTTCTTTCTCTTTTCTTTCTTTTTTCTTTCTTCTTTTTTCATTCTTACGATCTTCCTTCACTACTGATGAGTTCCGGGAAGATCGTATTTCTACCTTTTTTCCGTATAGTGATAAGGAACGAAACGGAAATTAGGTATTTCTCTTTGATTTTTGTTATAAGATGCCCACAAAGCCCTTCCCGGGAAAAGATATTATTGTTAGATGGATCATCTATATTATTAACTATGTCTAGCACTGAAAAGGACGAAACCTACCTTTTAGAAAGTTAAGGGGCTATAAATTGCATATCTTATATTTATACAGTAGCCTCAATAAAGCAATTAACATAAAGGTTGCCATATCCGCATTCATAAAGTTTTGCATCACAAATAATTTACAAGGCCAGTCATATTGGACCATAGTAAATTATTCAGATCTAATAAAGTGAAAATCTAAAAAAAAACACTCCGCAAACATTGGTAGAAATAGCTTATGCTGATGGGTATTGACATTACAACTTGAAACAACTTGAGTTGAGTGGTTACAGTTATCGTTTGTCATCTGATTAAACATTATTGGCAGGCAGAACGTAGAAGCAAAAACTTTCAAAATCCCATGATGCAAATTTTGTTAATTTCCGGTGAACTTTGGTACACACTACTTGAAGTGAACCTCCAATGTGCATTAAATTCTGCCCAACAGGAAGGACTAGCTGAGCAGCACCTCTCAAAAATCTTTCACAGAGGGGGGGTAGTTTATAAATTTGACAGAGCTACTTATAAACAAGCGCAGGATGGAGGTCATTAGCACACGTGTAAACCCTAAACTCTACCTCTCTTCTTTCTTGACTTTCCAGATGCCGGGATACATTTCTACTTGTGGGTAATTACAGAAACTCCAAGAGTATTACAGGAAGACAACTGCTAGGTTATTCTCATCATTCTCATCAAATGATTTCATATCTCGAAGTTTTTTAGTCACAGCATTTTGCTTTTCTGATAGGTTTGTGTAAGAACTCAAGTGGTAAATACAGGGTGTTCCAGAAAAATGTACCTACTGTTTGATTGCAAATTTTCTTGTAGTGAAGTGCTTCGAGAAGCTTTGGGTACCATTTTGTAGAGCGAGGGTAAACTTAGATTTACAGTATGGAGCGAATCGTCTATCGCTCTTCATTACTGTAGGATTACGGTACGAAATTCAACAAGGATTTTGGACCATTGGAGGCCATATTCTGCCTCGGAACAAAACCAAACGAGCCAAAAACTATTGTACTACGGCAATGGGAACCGTTGATTTCGAATTTGAGACTCCCATTTTACTGTGATGTTGCTTCCCTAAGTTATCCCCGGTAAATCGTAAAAACTCAATTCTCAGCATCTGTCAGAAATGTAATTACATCGTCAAAAAAGCTGAAAACACTCAAAAAGTTATTAGGTGGAGTCAGCATGCGCGAAAACCCTAGTACACGATTTTTTAGAATTTTTGAAAGAAATTTCATTAGGTGGTAACTGGTTCGCAATGGTTCCATATGTTAGAAGTTCTTACCGTAATCCTACAGTAATGAAGATCGATCGATGGTTCGCTCCATACTATAAATCCAAGTTTGATCTCGCTCTACAAAGTGGTACCTAGAGCTTCTCGAAACACTTCATTACAAGAGAGTTATTTACAATCAAACAGTATGTACATTTTTCTGGGACACCCTGTATTGTTGATACATAAACCTTGGGTCAAGAATATGGAAAATTTGGTTTGAAATTTATTTGTTTGAGTAGTTCCTCTCGAATTATGCCGTATTCTTATTTATTATAAGTGTGTGCTGATATTTTTTCGCACCAAACCCAAAGAAGAAAATTGAAGTTGAAAAAATATTAACCGGTAGAAACAGGTCATAAAACCGAGAAACCAAAATAAGATTTCAATGACGTTTCAATTTTGATCAAACTTGGAAAACGATTTTTCAAGTAATTTTCTGAACCATCTTTGTTGCGATACGAAAAATTCGCTCTAGGCACATTTCAGAAGAACATTTTCGTATCTATTGTGTATCAAATCAAAAATTTCATCAAAGCTTTTTGATTTCTTTGGCTTTGATTTCTTTTTGGCACAAGAATCAAAAGTAAAATAATGTGGAGAAAACTGAATTAGACAGTACATAACTGGGCTTGCTTTGTCCACTTGAATTTTTACCCCCCCCCCCCCCCCAATTGCTCAACCACCTATCCATTCGTGTAAGTCTAGACTAAGGCAAATCAGAACATATGCGGCGATGTGCGAATTCCGCGGAATCTGACCAAAACAGCAAAAGCACTTGAGTAAATCAATTTCCGCTCAAATCTCGTTGTGTGGCTCGGTGAAATGTTATGCATTCGATGAAGCTAATGGATATGTGTCTGCATGGATTCCTACAAACAATCTCCCGACATTTCTGAGAAGAGCTGCTCAAACATGACTGCGTGACTATCCAAAAACAATGCACAAAACGGCTTCACAAGTGCACGGCTGCCCGGGAAAAGGGCACTTCAAAGGTTACCAGAAAAACTCCAGTGGTTTACTGTAACCACTTAGTGACTGGGTTTTAGACTCACGAAAGCGAAGATGACGCTGTGGCAGTAAAGCTCCGAGAATTTTGCTTGAAAGAAAGTAACCAGCAGGTAATGCTGTCAGTTATATACAGTTTGAGATTATTCACAAAGATTTTCAAGATACATCTTTCTAGAATCAGTACTCATGAAGAATTAAAGAAACTAATCAAGGTAAAGGGGAAGGAGAAAAGAGAAGTCCATTTTTTCCTTCATGGTATATTATAAGTTGACTAAAGATTGTGATGAAAAGGTGTCCTAAGCGTGACAATCAAATGACGCAAACGTAGAATTGCGCTTTTTCAGATGTGCAGGTTCGATTTCTTGATGTATAAAAAGAAAATTACAAGGTATACTCTATAATCATGTAGAAAAGACCGTCTACAGGTAAGTCTAAGAGGGTTGAACTTTCAAACTTTAAGTTATGTAATTTCAAAAAAAACGCCAGACCAGGGTTACTCAATATTGTTCAGAAGTTCCTAAAAAAAACTTTTTTAAAGGATATCCAGAAAGCAGACGATGCAGCTATGATTTGCTAAGACGAAGATAGCAACCAAAAATCTTGAAGTTTCCTTCCATTTACTTTGCACGTCGAAACGCTCATTAGCCTTTCCCTTGTTTTTTTTTTTTCTACTGAACAGAAAAATGTGAAAACCCTAGGCTTAGTGAATTTCCTAGAAAACAGTGGACATTAATACTATTCCTACAACTCTCCCTCGCCCTAGACTTTTTCAGTTCCATGCAAACTGCATCAAATTACCTTGTTAGGAGAAAAAGAGGATAGAGCCGATAACAACTGGTTTTGTGGTTTTTTTAGATATCAAAGCCGGATTATCTGGGATTATAGCACATTTGTAGCGATTTGCATTTACATGAGTGCCAGTGACGGAACAGCAAAGAATGGAGTGAGAATACATGTAGGGGGACAAGGAAGATTCGGTAGTAGGAGAAGGATTTTGTGAAGGGGGGGGGGAGGGAAGTTGATATTATCTTTGTTCGTATCTAGAGGTGAAGCAGAATATTGGTTTATAATTTTGAAAAACAAAATGAGTAAGAAGTATAGCCTAGAATGTTAAAACACCTCATCAACACATAAACAAAAATTAGGAAGGAGCCTATCATCCAAAAAATTTATGTAACCGTAGCTTAAGGCTTCGCTTTTGCAGCCAGAAAGATCCAGTCATTAGCAAACAATGTGTTTTCAAAATCTTTTGCTTAGAAACCTATGCAATTAGAAATTGAACAGAGTATGTTTATAAATAGTCCATACTGAAGACTATATGTGATGCATTGGTTTCTACTTTGTATCTTCAATCGCTTCAAGGACAATAGATGTTTCAGGGTTCACTAGCAGTTCTCCTTCGTTCTACCCAACAATTCAACTGAAATTATCGCAGCTCCTTTGGACAAAATCAGCTACAATGTTGTAAACAAAACAAGCACCATAATTTTTTGCTTTTCCGGAAAGAATTCTTTGCAAACAAATTAGAGCAAATAATTTGTTGGACAAATCGTCAAGCAAATCATCTCATCAATCGTCGAAATAGCCCTTCCGATTGGCTAACTAGTAAAAACTTTAGCACCAACACAAACAGTTCCTTGGATCCTTTTGCACTAAAAAATAGTTCAGGAAATGATTGGGGTTCTCTATAGAGATGAAACAGGATTTGCTGAAATTTTAGAATCACACTGCTCATTTATTAATAGATTTAAGGGAGAGTGAAAAGGGCCTGAACTTTTAGAAATGATGTCATGCGCATAATCAGCTCTTTATAGATGGAAATTCCTGTTTGTGGTCACTTTTATCTTTACGCGCTCTAATATGTTAAATGCTTTGCTAAAACGCGTAGAGTGAATATTTTCCCAAATTTTTGACAAATGATAGCATTGCATGCACAACATATCAAAAGCCTACTGCAAAACTAATAAGAAAAAACTCACGATTGGCAACAGCCATGAGTAAACGACATACTCAAGGCTATTATAGTCGACATACATGGTTTGAATAGTGAATTCGCCCGATAAAGGCGCAGTTGACTCTGACCAAGTTGAGCTGGCTAGATTGAACTCGTCCTCGGTTGCATGAAACTTAAAAAATGAATATTAGCTGGCAGTGAAGCGTAGATGTAGGCTTGTCTTCGACGACGGTGTCCGCGACGATGGGGCGTGGCCGAGGGATGGGCACGGAGCATCTCGAAGGGGCGGAACTGCGGCTGCATGGGAACGTTTGAGACAATTTCCGCTAACCGCTAAGAAACTGCAGATGTACACGAAGGGAAAAGTGAGGGTGAAGTTTCGTTTGTTCAGGTATATTTCTGCCAAAAAGTTTACATAACCTTCTCACTGAACGAATTTCCCTCTTTTCACACAGGAAAAAATGATACTGCTGATAGAGTAGAAAAATTATGAGAGTTATAGTGTGTGGAATTAGCCAATGTTTCTCGCTCTTTTACAGTTCTATATAGAAAATCTTGAGTTTCCTTAGGGTCTGTTAGAGCCTTATTAAAGACCCTACAACTGTATATGACTGTCTTATCTCCCCGAGATCTCCCCACTTTCTTCTACTTTTCGTAAAAACCTCAAAAACTTTTTGATTTGCAACATTTGAAGTAAGTCTCTTAGTTTCCCCGAACCTGCTATACTTTTCTTTTGTAAAAACCAGAAAACCTCAAAACGGCATGTTTTGAGTTCTTTTACCTTATCCTCCGCACCTATACACTTATTTATCAAATTTAGGCATCGTTATTTTAGCTCGGCTATAATTTGAAGCGCTTATTTTAGATTTTTTGCCGTTGTCGCCATATCACTACGAATACCCAGGGCTCGGCACGAGGTGGCTTTTGGAAAATGCAAAAACCCCTTGACTTTCGCGAATTTTTGCGAAAAAAAATTTTTGCGACTAAAAAACCTCACAATTTCTGTGTCTTTTCGGCCTCAAAAATGATACCTCCTTTGCATTTGTCCCATAAACGATATCCAGCTTGCTTACAAGCCATCCGTGCCGAGTACTGCGAATATCATATGCGATTCAAGCGCTGTACCATCATGTTCTACAGAAAATTATTTATTATTCTAATACAGCGAACAGATTCATTCAAGCGTCGACCTTGTTAGTTGAACTTTCCTAAACTTTTGAGATTTTCAAGAGTGTTGCAATTCTCTCGTGCCTTTCTGTTATTTTTTTTATCTGTTAGATATTCAAACTATTTTGTAACAGTGACTGTTCGGCGAATTTTGCACTATTTGATCAGCTTTATCTTTTATAAACGTTATCAGCAGTTTGCATTTTCTTTTTGTCGGTTATAAAGCTAGAAATTGTTAAACATTGGATCGTATTTCTAGATCACCAAAAGCCTTTATCATCACTTCATATGTGACGCTTTCATGAATTATCTCAGTGACTTTATTATGAAAGTTCTTCTTGTCACTGACATCAGAGTTTGAATGCAAGGGCAGGGGGAGGGTGAAGGGGAAGGAGGAGGCGGTTACTAACTTTGCAGAATTTGTTCTTGAAACAAGTACAGAATATGCAGAAGACCGAAAAATGATAGCATCGTTTGCGAATGTGCAAAATTGATAAATACTTGCTACACACGAAATGCAAATAATATGCCAATTATAGAGCTTGTGGGATTAATTTTCGCAATCAATTACACTAAATTTACATTACCACCTATTTTCTTCTCTCATTTTTCTGCATTTTCATCGCTCTGCTTTGAGATTGTTTCAAAATTGTTCAACCATTTATCAGATTGCTTTTTAACTTTAGACAGCTTCAGCCGCTGTGAATGTTCTCGTTTCTTTTATGCAAGAAAAAAAGCTGGTCATTTCGGAATTCTCACGATCTTGGCCAGTGACTTTCTTCGAATTAATTTCTCTTACTGAGTGAGTACAGAAAATTATAACCCACCCCACCCGCAGTTCATGGCTAGCTTTGGAAATTGCTCCCTTGAGGCTGTTAAGCGAGCTTCCCATGAAGTGCTCTTTGCCAAAACATGCAAGTGCAAAAGACTTAGGCTAAAGACTGAAAAATTAGTCTCTGTTTCCAACTTGTAGTCAGCACTTTGGGAAAGCTATACGTTCTTTGCGGTTCAAAAAGAAATTCGACTGATGCAATTTCCGCTGAGAAGGGAATCTTTAACACTTATAGGCTTCATTGAAAATTACTGTAGAAATGGCAGCAAATTCCTTCCCCTCAGTCGAAGCTTAGGTTTCACAGAAATAAAAAAAATCAAATACATTAGGTCCTAGGACATTTCGATGACAATAAGAAATGATGTCACCTGCAATATTTTAGAAATATATAACTGAAAGCTTGCACAAATGGATAAAACCTCATCCCTCTTTTTACCTTCCTCGCTAACAAAAAATTCTAAATGTTTTCTTATATCCGATTTAAAGGCGCGAACACAAAGGATAGCAGAAAGAGTTTGAACCAGATACACTCTTTGGGGGAATGAGAAAGGGGGGGGGGGGATTCATGTTGTTTCCATTGAAGGTCAAGCAGACAAGATCTCAATTTGGCATCTACAGAATTTCAGAAGTCATCAAACCATGAGAAACCAGGAGCAAAAATGCTTTTTTGTGTTATTGATAAAATTCAAAATATTCTTTAGACTTAGAATTTAAACATTTACTATATCAGCAGTTATAGCTGCGATACAAAACTTATTTTATGATCTATTTTCAATAATCAAGCAATAGCGTAACAAACATTCGCAAGTCCACACTTTAGAGGAAAATTTTTTGCCAAAACGTTAGCAGGAAGCTGTTCACTTATGCAGAAATAAACGAAGAGGCGATTGATGGGAGCTCGTATACGGTTAATGCAATTAATTTCCATAAAATGGATAGTGGTATGAATCTATTGTTTTCCGATAAAGTATGCAATTTTGAAAGTCGTAGAAATGTGTTTTTGCTGGAAATCACTATGCCACAGTAAGGATTGAGCGGTTTAATTGACTAGAAATCAGTCCACAAATACTTTATATCCCAAAAAACATAAACTGTCTCGAAATTCGATAGTCAGTTCTGCAAAAACAGCCTTTTTTGCTAACTTCCTCTTACACCTTCGCATCGGCATGAAAAGAGAATGCCGAAGCACTCTAGAACAAACGTTTACGTAATTTTTTTGGCAGAACAAAGAGCTCCTCAGAAATCTCATTTTAGGCTCATTACTGTTTTTGCACTTCGCGAGCATGCGAGGAACATCCTCAGCGAATAAAGCAAAGAGAAGAAGCCTCATTGGAAGTGACGTTATAGTGGAGCAGCTCCAGATTTTTTTTATTTAGATCAAATTGCGGCTATTCTAACGATGTAAAAAGTTCGAAGCAGCATTTCTGAAATTCAATTCCCGAAAGCCTGTCTGGGCATATGTGTTCATACTGTGCTGAATCTCATGTGAAGCATAACTGTGAGAAATTGGGTCAAATGAATACTTTCTTACAAGGGAAGCTTTAGTAGAAGTTAGTTAGCTTTAATTTAGTCGAAGTGGTACTTTCTGAACGAGATGTGTACCGTATTGAAGGGTATAAAATGCTGATTCCATATGTGCCTTCTTTTCTGCAGAACATTTATGGACGAGGAGTTATGGGCGTGTTTTGGAGCGAAAAATTAATGTGCATTTGGGATAAAATGAGTTGCTAAAATCTTACTAGCCCTCAAATAATGCAACCAAGTATGATATACTTTTTATTTCACAGTACACTTGAATAAAGTGCCCTGATAATTATCACTGATACTGAGGAGTCAGAAAAAATATTACGGCTATTTTTGTCCTACTTGCACATTCAATTTTTGCTCAAATAAGCGCTCATAACTCCTCGTCCATAAACGCTCTGCAGACAAGGAAGGCAGATTTGGAATCAGCATTTCATGCCCTTCAGTATGGTACACATCCCATCTAAAGGGTTACTTCGACTAAATATACATTCCTTGTTAAATGCAAATTGTATAAACCCTTATCACGTGACGTTGACCATTTATGGTCACGCAAATGATTGGAAATAATGAGTTTGGACTCATACATACATTTTACATTCAACATTACTTCTTTAGGTGTTTCTTACTTTGACGCATTGAAGCATGACAAAAAAGAATTTCTGCTCGAACAGAGTTGAGTAGTCTATTTCTTTAGATTATCTTTGACTGATATCATGCTTTGCAATGAAATATGTCTGTAATAAATCTAAAAACCGTCAAAGACGAGCGAAATCATTTTTTATCCAATCTAATGAGTCCGCGGTAGTATAATGTATATTTACAGGTTTTCTGCGAGACAAGACAACAACATCACCAGGCTTTGTTTATCAAGAAATTTTTTGCTTACAGTAGCTTAACACTCCTTATTGTTTTCCCACAGCCTCAACAACAGTACTCTCAATTTGTTTTATTATATTTAGGTAAGCATGCTATTTAGCATGTTGAGCCACGAAATTTATTGTTACGTGGCTCATAAGCTATTCATTGTTGAAATTATGCCCAAGATATCTGAATGATAAAAAAACAAAAGATTTTGAAAACCATTTCTTGTATCTATTGTCTCAAATTTTACAAAGCCTTGCACCGTCATTATCACCGCTATCGTGGCAGTCTTAAGTAACTGGCGGCAAATATGTTGAGCAAATAACGAAGTAAAAGTTTACTATAAAAAGAAAAATGTAATTATTTGGTTGGTTTCTGGCAAGTGAAACACTAACCGCTTGCCCTCACTAGGCTCACTCAAAAAATACAAATCCAAATAGTTCAACGTTCACTCCATAGTTCCCAAGTTGCGAATAAGGAAAATTTTAGTTCCTACTATGTCACCCCAAATAATATAGGCCGGAAATGCAAAACAGACAAAGTGGTCCATCATAGAAATTAGGGGTAGACAAATGAGGAGCCCTAAGCTTCCAAAAAGTAAACTTTATCGGCAGCTTTGAATGCAGCTCATATGCATGAAAACACATATATACGGTTATGAAAAGAATCAAAAGGCTTGTTTCTTAAGTTTCATG